TGGGGAAAGTTTTAGGAGAATATTGAGGGATAAGTCTAGGGGGAGAGAAAAGTGATAAATCTTTAATAGGCTTGAATATCATGATTTGGAGTTTGGAATTTATCCATGAGATAACAGGAGGACCTTAACCTTAACTCATTTAAATAGGGGTGTGATGTGGCCAGATTTGCTTCTTAGAACTTATTTGACTACAATGTGGAAAGTCAAGATGAGGGCATGGGGTTCTGTTAGGAGGCTATGGCAGCCAGCCCAAGTAAGAGCTATGGAGAGTTACACAAAGGAAGTAGCATTGGGAAAAACATGGAGTGAAGAGGTTTATAAGAAGGTAGATTTAATGAGAGTTGGTGACTGACTGGATTGGGAAAGAAAAGGAGAACAACAGTGTCTCTAGGTTATTTCTTGGGCAATAGAGCTTGACCGTGTCTTTGAAAATAAGTTCCAAAAAATATTCTTAATCTCATCACCACATTAATCCCCTGAGACATGAAATTTAACTTCCTTCATACTCCTTGCTTCGAGTCTTGTAGTTTTTGTTTGTTTGTTTGTTTTTGGAATAATGTCCTCTAATAATATTAAGTATACTTTTGAACACCAAAGGAGATTCTGTCATTGGCAAAAATCAAGCATCCTGATGGGTTTTTACGGATTATCAGTGGCAACAGGAGCCCTTCTTCCTTCACAATTCAGGAAACTCTTCAGTGTACAGTGCTTTGAAAAGCACAGCTGTACCCCTTGGGAGTGGATCTTGCTGGTTTTGACACATCTCTGTGGTGAGAAGACAAATAATTCTAAAAGCCTGTTAAGTCTTCTCTCCATCAAGACATCTACCAGCTAACTGGATAACTGAGTCAGGATCCTTCTTTTTTTTCAGTGAAAATGCCATAATTCTTCAAACACTACCTAAATTGCCGTCACATCCATGAAGCCACACCCAGCAACACCAGCAGACTTTGATTTCTTCTCATCTCTCTTAGTGTCGGTCCCATCCATTATGTCCATTTGTTTCATTAATTCAAGGATTTATTGAGCCACTACCATGTACAGGGCACTGGCATAGTCCTTGGGAATATAGAAGGGAATAAACTAAAGTGCCTGCATTCCTGGAACTTACATTTGGTGGGAGAAGGAAGGCACCGGGCAAGTAAACAAATAAATAAAACAATTTCAGAGACTGGAATGGTATGGAGAAAATAAAAAAGAGAAAGTGTTATTGGTGCTGGAGAGGGCTGGTTAATTTACACTGGTTAATACAGAGGGCCTTGGGACTTCCCTGGTGGTGCAGTTGTTAAGAATCTGCCTGCCAATGTAGGGGACATGGGTTTGATCCCTGGTCGGGGAAGACCCCACGTGCCGCGGACCAACTAAGCCTGTGCGCCACAACTACTGAGCCTGTGCTCTAGAGCCCACCATCCACAACTACTGAAGCCCACGCACCTAGAGCCTGTGCTCTGCAACAAGGGAAGCCACCGCAATGAGAAGCCAGCGCACCACAGCAAAGAGTAACCCCTGCTTGCCGCAACTAGAGAAAGCCCACGCACAGCAACGAAGACCCAACGCAGCCAAAAAAAACAAAAAACAAAAAAACAAAAAACAGAAGGCCTTATTGAGTCTTGAGTGATCAGAAATAGAAGCTAGCTATTCCGTGGCTTAGAGATAGAGCTTTCCGAACAGAAGTCCTAAAGAAGGAACAAGTTTGACTTGTCCAGTGTAGATGAATGCTCCAGTGTGTCTGGAGCATAATTTATATCCAGATGACTTATTTTATTCCCTACTTTTCCATGTTTGCACTCTGTGGGTTTCCAAGCTAATTGGATTATTTGCATACATATTGTTTCTTCTTAAAATCCTACACTCCTCGAGGGCAAGGGTATATCATACACTTCATTTATTTTCCCCACAACCTCTAGCACAATGCTAAGAACATTACTAGGTGCTCAATAAATTCTTGCTAAATTCAATTGAATTTGCAGTAATAGGATCGTTTTTCATAATACACAGAGCAAACAAAAGAAAAACCTACCAAGCAACCCAGTGACACCATACAGAGGTTCAAAAACAGATTATATGTTTCCCCCCAAAGACTTGAAAGACACACTTTCATTTTAGTGATTGTCATCCTCTGATTTGTTAAAGAGTCATATGAGTTTAGGAAGTCATTTTCCATGACAGCTGTCCACATTTTTGAGAGAGAGGAATTTACCAGCACGTGGCTTTGGTAATTACAAATGATTTCACTTACTGCTGAAAGACAAGAGCAAGAGAGAAAAGAACATTTATTTTCTGTATTCAACAGTTAACTCTCTGGGGACAAAGGCAGGAAGGGGGCAGTTTATAGAACCCTGAGTCCAAGAGCAGGTTGTAGAACATTGAGTCCAAGAAGGAGTTGATGAGAGGGACTGAATCTGAACAACAGTAAGCAGAAGGAGAGAAGACATTGATGAATAAGTGGATCCAAGGCCAGAGGAGCTGATAACCCTAGGTTAGCTGAGTCAAAGATAGAATGAAAAATAACGGGAGGCCAAGGAGTGTGGTTAGACCTAAGCAGTCAGGTCTGAATGCCCAGACATTCATCTTGGAAGAAGAGTACCAGACAGAGTCACAGCATCATTTTTATCCTTATCCTTTGGCAGACGTAAGGATGCACATTCTGCCCAGAACAACTCACAGTACCATGTTTTATTTCATGTTCATAGAAAAGAACAATGCATATAAATGCATAAAAGACCTTTACATAAGAAAGGAAGCTCTACTTTACTTGTAGTCAGAGAGATGCAAACAAAACAATACACCAAGATACCATTTTTCATCTTTCAGATTGGCAAAAAATTCACTGTTGGCAAGACTGTGGGGAAACACCATTTTTACACATGGCTGGTGGGAGTATAAATTGGCACAATCCCTATGGGGTGGGGAGAATTTGATATCTATAAAAATTATAAATATATGTAGACATTGAACCACCTTGGGGAATTTAGTCTAGAGCTATATTTACACACAGATAAAATAATGTATGTACAATGTTACCTAGTTATTAAATAGGAGAAATAGAAAACTCCCATATGTCCAATAAACTGTGGTATAGTTATATAATGAAACACTAGGTGGCTGTAAATCAAAGAATCCAAAGACTCTAAATCTCTAAAACAAAAGTAAAATGAAGACTTTTGCTATGCACTGCTGGGAAAGGTCTGCAACAGAAGAGCAAGCCCAGTTGTGTGTTTAATATGTGCCCTTTTCTGCAAGAAAAGAAGAAGAAAGCTAAGAACATGCATTTGTGTTTGCTTATATTTGCATGGGGAGCCTGGAGAAATACACAAGAATTCAATACATGTGGCTGTCTTCTAGAAGAGTAACTGAATGAATAGGGGACTGCAAGACTTTACATTGTGCATTAAAATCATTTGGTTTTTGAAATATATGCAAGAATTACTTAAAGATAATGTAAAGTCTTTGTCCTCTTGGCACTTATAGTCTAGTAGATGAGACAGAAAATAAAGAGACAGTATATAACATAGTGTCTAATAACGATAATTACTAAGAATAAAAAGTAAATTTCTGTAAGCGGATGGATAGTGAAAATAGGTGCTATTTTAGATAAGGGATCAAGGAAGTCCACTCTAAGAAGTCAAGAAGAAAAGAGAAAACTGAATGAAGTTCAAGGGGGCCATGTAGACTACTTGGGAAAGAATGATCTGGGCAGAAGAAGCAGCAGTTGCCAACATCACGCAACAGGACTATACCTATTACACTAGTGAAGATATAGCTTGGGACTTTTGGAGAGGTAGCCAGGGGCAAGATCGTGTAGGACCTTATGGATATTGGTCAGCGCTTTGGATTTTGTTCTCTATGTAGTTGGAAGACAGTGAACTTTCCATTGACACCCAGTGCTCTGCCAGTTCTTCTAGTCCCTTCTCTATTCTGGCTCTATTTGCCTTCCACCCAGCCATGGTGCCGTGCTCACAGTACAAATGCTCCCTTATCCTCCTGATGCTCCCTCTTGCCAATCTCCATCCTTGAACAACTGTCACTGTTCATTTTCTTTTCCCTGGTGGCAGAACAAAAGACACCCAATGAGACAATGAGCCCAATGCTAGGCTCTACCACAAATTCATGTTCTCCAACCTCCTTTGGGCCTGAGTATAGAGCCATGATTTTTTCACCTTCTATTAATTTCAGATTGCATCCATCACAGCAATGTTTCAGACCTCCTCCACTCTCAGCCTGCTTTAACAAAAATTGAATTCACTGAAGTTCCCTTAATTGAACTTGCAGCTGTCTCCTCTTCCCCTACAAACCCACTGCACCACCTGTTAACCTCCCTTTGTGAGTGGCACCATTATTCACTCAGTTACCCAATCAGAACCCTGGGAATCATCCCTGATCATCCCTGATCCCTTCAATGCTTACATTCAAATAGTGCCTTAGCACTGTAGATTCTACCTCCTAAATACATCTTAATGTTAGTCCCTCTCCTCCATTCTTACTTCTTCTGCCACAGATTAGCTCCTCAGCATCTCTTGTCTAGACTATTGCACTATTCCCTGACCCTAATCACTGAACACACACACACACACACACACACACACACACACACACACACAGAATTTCCAATAAATATAACTGCTTATATTCTTCCTTAGCTTAAATATTCCCTCAGTATCTTCAGGATAAAATTAAAATTCCTTGATAAGGAATACAAAGTTCTTTATAACCTGGTCTCTCTTTGCCTGTCAGGGGAAACATTTCTAAATTTCTTTCCACTTCTACTTCCTCATCTGAAAAATGGGGATATTAATAAAAGTAACATCATGGAATTTTTTATGGACACAATGTTTGTCTCTCCCCCAAATTCCTATATTAAAACCCTAACCCCCAACATGGTGATTTGGAGGTGGGGCCTTTGGGGGGTAATTGATGTTGGATTAGGTCATGAAGATGGGACTCTAATGACGGGATTGCTCACTTTATAAGAAAAGGAAAATCTTCCTTTCTCTCCCCAGCTCCCCACCAATGGGAACACACTGAGAAAAGACCAAGTGAGGACATAGTGAGAAGCTGACCATCCGCAAGCCAGAAAGAGAGCTCTCTCAGGAACTGAGTCAGCAGGTACCTTGATCTTGAACTTCTCGGCTTCCAGAATGGTGAGAAGTAAATGTCTGTTGTTTAAACCTCCAGTCTATGGTGTTTTATTATGGCTGTCCAAGCAGACTAAGGGTTGTAAAGATTAATGGGAAACAACACATGTAAATTCCTCTGAAAAAAACTTGACCGTGGTAAGTGCTCTGAAAAGTTGGTTACTATGATTAGCATCCATTTTCAGCCCATGATCACCCCCTTCCCACCATATAACAGTCCCAAAGACTACTTGAAGTTTCTGACTAGTCTTTGCTCTCTTATGCTATGAGATGAATTCTGTCTGGAGCATCCATCCATGTTTTCAGGACTCAGTTAGCACCCTAGGGCCAGAGTAAATATCTGAGTCAGACAGAACAATTGTATTGTCCTCATGCCCCAGTGGGATCCTTTCCCTTGAGTACAGGCAGAACCTGTGACTTGCTTGTAGACAGAATGTGTTATTATTTTGTACTTAATTATGTTATGCACATTTGTAGTTCCCATCTTGCTGAGTCTCTCTCTTCCTTGCTAACCTAACTTTGAAAAAGCAAGCTGCAATGATGGAGAGTGCCACATGGCAAGAAACTGGAGGACATCCTCCAATGTTACCTGGCAAGAGACTGGGACCACTACTACTACAGCCTACAAAGAACTGAGGGCTCTCAACAATCATGTGAACTTGGAAGAGGATTTTTCCCCTGTCAAGCTTCAGATGAGACCACAGCCTCAGGTGACACCTTATTTGTAGCCTTGTAAGAACTTAGAGAGGACCCAGCTAGGACCTGACCCACTGGGTGAAAATAAACATGTATCATTTTTAAGCTGTTAAATTTGTAGCAATACTATGTAGTAATAGACACCTAGTACATTATCCATCTGTACGTTCAAAACACTACAACAGACCTTGATTACAGCTCTTATTCCTTGCTATTGGAAGTCTCTGCTTACTTTGTATCTCTCCTCCGGCTTTGGAGACATGTGAGGAGATGATCACATCTTTCTCTGTACGCTGAGAGCCTTGCCTGCCACGTAGAGCCTCGTTGGTGCTTAATAAATGTTCATTGAATGCATTTCCCTCCTATAATAATTTTCAAATACTCGAAGACAATCAGTTAGATTCTTGATTGGGTGCAAGGGGATAAAACTTGTTTTGCAAGTGTGTGAAACTGAAATAGATCACAGGGGGCCAAAAATGACAACTGCATGGTGATGTGTCCAATGTCAGCTTTTCAATGGAGTCATCTTGATTAATGAGGTCTTCCATTTGTGCAGTCACTAGGAAAATGAAAAAAAAAGATCTATTTCCTCTTATAGTCTACTTTCAAAGGCACTGGCTTCTCATTATGAATAATCAAATACCACTGTGAAAGAAGGGCAAACTTGAAATGACTAACTTTTAGCTTTTAAGGCCTACTATTCAAGTGAAGAGTAAAATATTCCTTTTATAAAACTGATGTTATGATTTCACTTGGATAATTTAATGCTTTGAAAAATGACAGTGTTCTTGTTCAATCTTCTGGTTAATGAACCTGTTTGAGGCATCTCCTTGCTGAGAAAATTCCAAGGGTTTGTTTTTAAAATTTTTTTGGATTGAGTAGTATATTATATATATATATATATATATATTTATAAATGTGTTTCTCATGAAATTATAATACAAATTTTATGCAGAAACCTCAGTGACTCAGTATATTTATTTAGTGCTAACAGGTGATCAATACATATTTATTAAAGTAAATTAAATTCTAGTGTTTTTTGTAAATACAGTGCAAAGATCAAGGTCTTTGGAATTAAATGATGCAGGTGTTTGTCACAGCTCCCACTCTTGCAAACTATATAACCTCAAGACCTGCTGCTGGTCTGTGGGTATCCCTACTCCTTCTCCTGCACTTGAAGCCTAGTGAAGGATTATAACAGGACTAGGAGTGTGTGATATGGGACCAATACCCCTATTACTGTTTAACATAGTACTGAAGGTCCAGGTCAGTGTTGTGAGGAAAGAAATTAGAGAAATGAGGATTGGAAGGAAAGATTTTTTTAAAAAAAATAATAAAACCTGACAAACTGTTAGACCTAATAAGAGTTTAGCAAGATAGCTAAATACAAGACCAAAGTACAAAAATTAATAGCAGTTTCTACAAAAGCAATAAGTAACCAGAAAATTTAATTAAAGTAAAAACCATCCACAACAGCAACAAGTACAAAGAATTTTAACTTAAATGGAACACGCAAGACTTCTATGGAGAATATCTTAAAACTTGAATAAAAGAGAGAGATGTTCTGAATAAATGAAGAGAAATTTTATACTTTTTGGTGGTTCTATCCCTTATGGAAAAGTAAATTCTTCTCCAGATTAATTCACACATATGCAATCTCTAAAATCTCAGTTGGATGTTTTGAAGAACTCGGTAAACTTAGTCTAAAGTTTGTATGGAAAAACAAATGTCCCCAAACAATCAAGGCAACATTGAAAACCGTAGTTAAGAAAGAAGGAATTGTCCTATTGATATTGAGACATATCACCAAGCCATGGTGAAGATGTCAGTGCTCACTGACTTAACCTATGGAGTTAAGGTCATCATAATCATTGTTTTGTTGTGTTGCATTGTGTACGTGAATTGTGACACGCTGATTCTAAAATCTACATGGAAGGGCAGCAAGCCAATAATAACCACAGTACGCCTGATGGAGAAAAACTATGCAGGAGTGCGGCACACAAAATGTCAACACTTATTATAAAGCTTTAGTAATTAAGATAGCGTGTCATTATTGCAAGGATAGACAAACTGATCAGTGGAGCAGAATACAGAATTCCTCAAGCAGACTCACAGATACATGGAAATCTAATGCAATTAATGGTGCTGGGAGGATCATTCATACTGATAAAAACGACATGGAGTTTCATATCATACCATATACAAAAATCAATTCCAGGTGGATAATACACTGTAAAATTTTGTGATTAAGAAGGATTCTTAAACAAGACTTTAAAAATGTAAAGCATAAAGGAAATTATTGATATGTTCGTTGCATTAAGTTTAAGAACTTCTCTTCATCAAAAATGCTCATGAAGAAAATAAAAAGACAAACTATGCACTGGCAGAAAATAGTAACTGCTATACCAGTCAATGGACTAGGGGTCAGGATATATATACATATGAGAGAGAACTCCTAAAAATCAGTAAGAGAAGGACAAACAATAGAAAATATACGCAAATGACAGAGGAGGTGGTATGAATGAAAAATAAACACATGAAAAAACATTCAGTCCCATCAGTAGTTAAGGAAATGCAACTTAAAAGCACAATGTCAATCCATAGTACCCAATAAAATGGATAAATCATAGTAAGTTCATACAATGAAATATTATAGAGGAAATGAATGAACTACAGCTACATAATACAAAGATGCTTTGGCATAATGGAGGTAAAAAGGGCACACAAAGTGTTCTATTTCTTAAACTGGATATTGTGTACTTAGGGGTTCATTGTGCTGTTATTCTTTCCATCTTATACATACCTTATAAAATCCTTTTGTATTTAATAAACGTTTGATCTAAGCTATTTTTTAAAAGAAGGCATGAGTGTTTCCAGGTGTGGAAATCTTCATAAAATTTGTCCTGTGGGCCTGCATAGCTGAGCAAGTAGGCCTGGGTGGGAATGCTTAATGTGAACCATGGGACATTGAGGGCTCAGGAAGAAGTAGCTTTTACCTTTAATATGCCTCATAAATTATATACTAAAATTGAGATTATATTTTATGGCTTAAAGTGACTATAGGAGTTTTGCTTCCTTAAGAGAAGTCAAAGAAATTATGGAGCCTGACCATGTTTCCAGGTGGGGTGGAAAGAACTTTCTCACTGTACAAATTTTAAAGAAACATTGGGAGACAAATGAAAATGCTTATGATTATACCCGGTAAGTCCCACTCATTCAACCCACTTCATAGGGTGGTTAAGAAAATCAACTGAGATAATGAATATAAAATAGACCTGCTGCATGGGTAAGTGCAACAAATATTAGCTCATATAGTTATCATTACCTTAGTATAGGTTTCATTTATTTATTACTTATTTATTACTTCATTTATTACTTATTTACTTTTTTAGGGAGACATATATAGATCTACTAAAATGTAATTGTTGAACTTAGGAGATTAAATTTACTAGATTTACCATCCATGAGAAATTGCAGGTATTGAAGTTTTTAATATTTGCAGTGTTCAGACAATGTGCTTAGTTCAGAACAGCCATCGAGGCATGCGCCTTCCCCAGGAAGGGAACTGTGGAAACAACAGTCATTGTGTGCAAGTTGCCGCTACAAACTAATAGCTGACCTTTATTCTCAAATGCAGCCATTATCTCATTTTAACCTTTTCTTCCTAACTTATGTCTTTATTTATTACTTATTTACTTTCTTAGGGAGACAGGCAAAGGGCTACTTGTGAAATTAAGAATTTATTTCACAAACTTTAGTTCTAGTTTTCACATTTTGTTTTGCTAAATTGCTCATAACACAAAAAGGCCAAAAAAAAGATGGAAAAGAAAACAGAAATGTGGAGCAAATGCCAAGCCTCCCGTGTTGAGCCTAATACAGGATCACTGAGTAAAGTCAGGGACCTAATGAGAAATGTTAGGTATTAGTAATAATAATAAAATAAATTAAAGTAGAGATTTGGGGTACTAAATTGCATCTGTCTGTCCCTTGGGGATGACATTAGGGTCGTTTGAGGAAAAGGGGACAAGAAAAGATTTGAAGTGATTTATGTAATAAGTAATTTCAAAAGAGGGAAACAGATAGCCTTTTAAAATGTAAGGGAAGAAAAGATAAGCTCTACGTAGTGTTCCACCAAATGAGAGTTTGGCAAGTTAACATCCCTTCTGGGAAAAACAGTGCTTGGTATCCAAATGTTAGGAACTAAATATAGCCAAAATGTACATTTGTTTGTGTTACTGTTTACCTCTTCCCTTATAGTCTTACTTTTATGCCTGATGCACCTTGATTATGTTCATTTTGAATCTTTATAGCATTGTGCATAGAATGGAAAAAAGACAAAACCATCCATTTGTTGATGACTTGGCTCCAAGATGAGAAAGAGAAATGATATTTTTATGTTTTATGTATTTCCTATGACTAAAAATGTGATTTTCAAGCTGTTATTGTCTTACAGAAGTATTTATTCCCTATGGAGCAAAATATGCTTCTCTTTTGATATTATTGAGATGATCTGCTGATTCTGATCAACCCCAGGTCCCAAGTCTGGCAGAGAATTATTCAGACGATTGCCTTGATTTCAGGATGTGCCTAACCTAGGAAAACTCAACACTAAGCTTCTCCCTGCAAATCACTCTTGCCTCCGATTTATTCACCAGGTCACAGGTCCATAATCCACCATTCTACATCAATGCATAATCGAAGCATATTCTTCTCCATTACTGTCATAGGATATCAATTCTGTAATCTGTTTGTAATTAGAACCACTCCAAAAATCTATCTTTTCTTTATCTCCTTCCCTCATGAACTTTATAGAAGAATAAACATGCCAGTATTATTCTTACCCACAAACAGAAATCAATCTCTACCAAATTCCCTGGTGTAATATGTATTAGCCTGTCACCAAGGACAAAATTTATATTTACTTAAAGATGTATTTCTCCACACAAAGCTTCTCAGATCTGCAGTAAATAAAAATGAATGCCAGTTTAAGCATTAAAAAAAAATAGAATCATTC